ATTTTTGGCGAAACCAGACACATAGAGAAATCTTTTAATATTCAGAGGCAGTCCTTAGGACTCAGTATTAAAGAGGACCAGCACTGCCAAGCAGCTTTAAGGACCAGTGGAAATGCAGGGGAGTCTGTGGCAGTGCCACCTGCGAGGTGTTCAGGCTTTTCTCTGAGCTCCAATGGAGCGGGAAGGCAGGATTCGGGAAGGTGACCCCAGGTTTGTGATGGGCACCAGGACTGTGGCAGAAGGGATATTTCTAGGTGGTGGGAGGGCCATTTGTATTGTGTGGCTCTAAACCAGGGGAGACAGGCAGATACTGCAGGAGAGGAAGGGATGAGGGATGGTCAGTCGTGTGGTTCACTGTGAGGTTTTGTGACCAAAGTAGAACCAGGGGAGAAGCCACTGAAGAACTTAGCAGAGGAGATGAGTTATATTGGTTTGAATGGCCGAGGTACAGATGGCACAAGTGGCTCTATCCCTAAGGGAATGCCCTGCCACAGAGGCAGGGTGGGATGGGGGAGATGGGGGGTGGGAGGGATACTGGGATCAGTGGTGGTGGAGAATGGGCATTGCTGGAGGGATGGGTATTGGTCATTGTATAATTGAATCCCAAGCACAAAAATTTGTAAGTCTACAACTGTACCTCATGGTGTTTCACTAATGAAAATTAAATAATAATAATAATAATAATAATAATAATAATAATAATAATGTCACTGTCCTCCCATTGTTCATTGATTTGCTCGAGCGGGCCCAGTAACGTCTCCATTGGAGACTTTGTTGTTACTGTGTTTGGCATATCAAATACATCACCGGTAGCTTGCCAGGCTCTGCCGTGCAGGTGAGATACTCTCAGTAGCTTGCCGGGCTCTCCGAGAGGAGCGGGGGAATCGAACTCGGGCCGGCCATGTTGGCTGCGTGCAAGGCAAACGCCCTACTGCTGTGCTATCACTTCAGCCCAAATAATAATAATAATAATAATAATAATAATAATAATAATAAAACCTACAGCAAGAAAAAACAAAACAAGTGGCTCTGTCCAGGTTTGGGACCATAACTCCCGACGGTTTGATGGGCCATCAGGTGATGAGAGAAGACAAAGGTGGGAAAGGATGTCTTTGAGGTATTTTAAGTGTGTTAGAAGACAGCTAATGGCTATCCCGTTCTGCCCCTTGCTTTTGGCCTATCTTCCATCCCAAACAAAGGGGATGTGTATGCCCTCCGCCATGAATGTCTCTATACAAAATGTGAATGTGTGTGTGTGTCTGAGAGAGAGAGAACAAGATCTTGTCCGGGGAGAGGGAGCTTTTTATTAGAATTTCCGGAGAATTGCTTCTCAAGAGTCATGGGTCAAATCCGGGCTTTTAATTATTTTGCATTCTCATTGGAGTTTTTCTCCTCAAGAATAAAATGCCATGCCAATATGAGAGTTATTAAAAATTCATTTTCGTGGAGACTCTGACCTGAATGAGAAAGAAGCAAATCCACAATTCCCTGTGTTCTGTTTGGTGGAGCAGTGATTTACTTTTCAGGCTTTTCATCATGTGATTTTATGACCTATAAAAAATTTATAATACAATGTATTATAAATGATCGATTACTTTGTTTGTTTGTTTGTTTGTTTGGGGCCACACCTGCCTGGCGATGCTCAGAGGTTACTCCTGGCTCTGCACTCAGGAATCACTCCTGGTAGGCTCAGGGGACTATATAGGTTGCTGGGGTTCGAACCCCAATCAGCTAGCTGCGTGCAAGACAAGCATCCTACCCTCTGTACTAGCTGTCTATCCAAATTAATTATTTTGAAAATGTAGAATTATGAGTGTTGGAGAGATAGTAGAGGGTGTAGGTGCAGGGTTTGCATGCAACTAACCAATTCAATCCCTAGCACCACATGGTCCCTCAAGCATTGCTGGGTACAGCCCTAGAGGTGTTCAGCTCGACCAGGGTAATTGAGTATCATGGGCACCCAAGAAGCAGTGCCTCCTTGGATGCTCACATTGATCAAGAAACCCCAGGAGGGGCCCCTAAACCTCGTAAACACTGCTTGGGAGACACCACCCCCAGATTTTTAAGTGAAGCATTATATATAGTACAATCTTTAAAACTGTATTAATTTTAGCAGATGTATGAACATCGGTTTTATTTTGGTTTTGTTCAGTTTTGTTTTGTGTTTTTGAGTCACACGCAGAGGGCTTATTGGGCTCTGTGCTCAGGCAGATTCCTGGTGGTGTGCAGGCCTTACTCTGGCTCTGCACACAGCAGACCATATATGGCGTCAGGTATTGAACCTGAGTCAGCTTCAAGGAAGGCAAACCCCCTAACCCTTATACTGTCTCTCTGGCCCAAATTTTATTGTGCAGTTCTCTCCCTTACGTTTCACAGTAAGCATGTAAGATTTTCCTAGAAGGAATGGAGGGCCATTTGAGAAACAATTAAAGCTCTGGATAGGTAAGGGATGTGGAGACCTCTGGTGGCTCACTTTATTTTTAGAATCTGAAGGAATAACTGGGTGCAAAGTGAAAAGCTGTAGAATTCCAGTTGGAAAGAAGTACGAAGAATACACAGGGTTTTTTTTTTTAATCTGACAAAAGGGGAAACGGAGGCCCAGAAAGGCTAAATGAACTTGCTAAGAACCACAGGACTGAGTTGAGGCACTGAGTAGGTCAGGTGCAGACAGAAGCAAGCCTGGGAGAGGAGAACAAGCAGCCCAGGGAATGTGGAAAGCACAGGACAGGGTGAGCCTCATTCTCTGCTCCTTCCCACACTTGGCCCCACAGTGTCCACTGTGTCTTGCTTCCTCTCTCCCCGGCTTTTTTCTCTCACTGGCAACCACAGTGCGAAAAAATCAGAGGAAGCCCCTTGCTTGTGCTTTTTTCTCTCCTGACTTACCCGCCCCTTATTCCTGAGGGGGCCTGCTCAGAAGCAGGACCTGACCAGGTCACTCCCTCCCTTCATAGCCCTGTCTTAGAGTCTTCAGGGCCCTTGCCTCCTTGATGTGATGCTTGAAAATAGGCCCCCAGGCGTCCCCAGTGGGCGTCAGGGACCCAGAGCTTTCATTCTCTTACACATCATGGCCCCGCCACTTGTGTGTGATCTTAGATAGATTGTTGCATCTCTTTGAGCCATGGTTTCCCTTTACCAAGTAGAAGTGGAAGAACTTGCTCAGGAACTGCTGGGAGCGTCATCCCTGCAGAGCCCTTACTGTGGATTACCCAACCTACAGTGTCTGGTGGACACTGTGCCTTACTGGGGAGGCTTGGTCATCTTGTACCCTACATTTCTTGCCTCTGCCCAGAGAACTCATCATAGGAGACAGCTTCACCGTCCCCTCTCCAAGGCACAAGTGCAACATCTGGCACAAAGAGGTTCCATGATGAAACTTGTTGAGTGAAAATTAGTCATGATCCCATGAGTGAGTCATTTCATCTTTCTGCACCCCAATTCTTTATGACTAAAATCAGGTGGAAGAGAAATGATGTATAATAAGCACCTAAAATGGTAGATACTTCATAGTTCTAATTCAAGAAATAGTTGCTATTGGTGGCATCCTGTGCATCCTTTAAATGCCAAGATCAAATGTTAGCTCTTTGACTGATACTTCTTTCCATATTTTCTTCTATCCCTTGGCCAAAATAATCATTTCCAATTCTTCCTTTTCTTCTTCTTATTAAGCTAGGTCAGTGAGGACAAAGTTTTAGAATCTGACAGATCTTGGCCTGAATCCTGGTGACTTGTATGATTTTTAAGCAAATTAACTAGGCTTTTAAGCCCTCTCTATAATTGGAAGGGTAATGATACAGAGCTCTCTCTTGTTCTGGTTATTCTATTAAGTTGCAGATCTTTTTTTTACTGCAGGAATAGTGCTCTGTTGATCTCGCTACTATAGTGTAGGTGGTTCAAATATGTGATGACTGAAGCACCCCACCCAGACCGTGGGATGTTAGATAAATAAAATGTATTTAAAGTGCAGTGCATACAGATGAAGCCTCACTGAATATTCACTGGAGAAATGAGTATAGTTATAAATGACAAAACAGGATAGAGTATTAGGAAAAAGCTAGAAAGCCAATACTAAGGATAATACAAAACACAGAGGAAATGCCAATGTTTGATCAGATGATACAAATACAGTGGGTGTAGGAATGTCTAGAGAAGATCAACTCTAACAGATGCTTGGCGACTAAGGACACTTTCACACAAAGGAGTGGGAATGATAAAAAGGAAGTCCTGGGAGTAAGATCTCAGCTGCTCCAGCTCCACAGGTTCCATTTATGGTCACTTCCTCAAATCCACCCACCCCACACGCCCTCTTTCTCAGTCTTTTTAAAAATAAGATGATTTGGGGGCCAGAGTTATAGTATAACAGGTTGGGCTCTTGCCTTGCATGTTGGGCTCTTTCCTTGCAACCTTCAACCCAGGTTCAATCCTCAGCATCTTGTGTGGTCCCCTGAATCCCATCAGGAGTAATTCCAGAGTGCAGAGCTAGGAGTAAGCTCTGAGCATTGCTGAGTGTATTCCCCACCCCCCTTAAAAAGATAAGATTATTTAAAAATTTGTTCCTATTATCCATATCGCTTATTTTGCTTATTCCTAAGGGGCACATTGAACAATATACTCTTCTCCCTTGAACTTCTCCTTCAGCCTCCTAGATCCTGGCACTGACAACCCCAGTCTGCTCAAATGAGTTCCTTGCATGACCTGTGGGATCATATAATGTGCTTAGAGCCCTGGGGTCCAGACCCGCTCTTTAGCGCTGGGGAGAGGGCTGGTTCAGAAAAGCTAGAGGGCGTGCTCATACCTGCCCAGGGAAGCTCAGGGCTGCACTCCAGGATTCTCCCAGGATTCTCGGGCCCACGCCCAGTGTTGCGTTATATGCAGGTTTCATCAGGGAGCCCTGGGCTAGAAAGACACAGGATCTAATAGATTTATCATTTATCAATGAATTTGTTGATCCCTTAATGCGTGAAGTCTAAGGATTGCTCGAGACAGATGTATTTGTCTTTCAGTTTATGCCTGTTCAAGTACCCAACGATGAAGAAAAAAGCGATCCTGTCCTTTTTGCTGGTAAAGTTCGGGCTTTAATGGCTGAGTAAGTATTTATGCAGAATCGTAAGCAGTAAGTAGTTTTAGCATTGTTTGTAATGGCATCTCATGTGGTTGGAGATTTTTAGGGTATGTGGGTGCATTTCTGGCAGTGCTCCCACCAGCCTTCTCCCAGAGTTCACTAACTATACCTTGTGGTATTAGGGTGGGAGTGCATTTCTGGGCATCAAAGTCATGCCCCTCCACCCTTGCCCATGCAAGGCATGCAACTCGAGGCATATTCCTCACCCCCTAATATAATTTTTTAAATGTTTCTTTTTCCTGAGGGCCTCATTCCTCAGCTCATTTTGGTAAGTAAAATAATGTATCCAGGAACTTGGATCAATAAGACAATCTATGGTCAATATTTTCCCTTGCTGCCACCCCAGACTAATGGAAATGTGTCTTTGCACAGACAAAGGGGTATAGTAGCCAGGGGGACTAGCCAGTATCTTCCACAGGGCAGACTACCAACAGGCCTGGTACTATCAAAGTCTTGCTGGGGTTTGAACCCAGTTCTTGGGTCTCTGCCATGGCCAGAGACCTTCTACTTGCCTTACTTCTGTAGAGCTGTCTCAGGCTGAGCATTTCACCCCCAGATCTGCAAGGAAACTCATTGTATGCAAGGAGAAGGGGCAGAGTATCTCCATTAAGAGAGGGCGAGAGATTTAAGACTTAGGAACTTTGAAATGAAAGGCAGATATTTCCTGGCACGTGAGTGAGTTTGAGCTGGCCACTATTCTGGTAGATTATTTCTCATGTCCCATCATCAAAGGATGTATGTTCTACTGTTGCACTACCCAGGCATCAGGTACCTGATCCTTGCATACTGCCTCCCAGTCATTCCCAGTAGCTGTGGAGCTTCTAGGTCCCCAATGTTGAAAACTCAACGGGAGCAGCTGGGAGGAAAGAAGAGGTGGACTGAAGTAAGATATGGACATTGGTGGAGGGTATTAGACGCTTTAGTGGTGGTAAGGAGCAGTAGCTTTAGCTATCAAAACCATGAGTGCTAACACTATTGTAGATGCCAGTCTGCAAGGTGTGAAAAGGTTGGAAACTCCTGATCTATCACTGTGGTTGTAACTGCTGGTCCATGGACTGGGATGCAGGCCAGATACTATTCTGTGGGATGAAAAAGGTTGAAGAACACTGATTTAAGGTAGAATTTTGAAACATTTTTAACAGAACAAAAACTTAATGGGAACTTTGAATTGAGAGTCACAGCTGAACATAGGTACGTGAGTGTGTGTATATGTGTGTGTATAAAATCTATATACACACATATATAATCAGATTAGTATATATGGATAATGTCACATATGAACACACATATGTATTCGTATTACTATTTCATAGCAGAATAACTCCATTATTGACATGTTTAGCCCCAAACAGCCTTCTGTTACTGTGTGTCCCAGGAGAGTTTGGTTTATCTAGTTTCTGGACCAACTACAAAACCGGCTTTTCTGTTGTTCCTCTCTTCATGCTTTTGTAGCAGTTTAGCTCCAAAAGTTAGGATAAAGGCAACATTAGGGACCGAGAGAATTCATAACTGATAGTTGGGCTTCCTGATAAGTACCTACAAACAGTTGGAAACTGTTTAGCCCATTTCTGTTTCTGACGTAGGAGGCATAAAGGCCACTGATAAGAGGAAAAACCTCCGTGTTTCACAAGCCTGGGCTTATCCCTCCAAGACTGAGCATTCACTGTGATGGTTTCCTTGGAATATCAGTGAACAAGAAATGGAATGAAAAGAAATCTTCAGGAAATTATTTTATGTCTTAGATGATTTTTATTGGGCTTGTGTTTTTAATTTTTTTAATTTTTTGTGGGGGTGGTGTATCATACCCAATGTGCTCAGGACTTCCTCCTGGCTCTGCACACAGGGATCATGCCTGATAGGTTTGAGGGACCATATGAGGTGCCAGGAATCAAACCCAGGTTAGCCACATGCAAGGCAAATACCCTACCCACTATACTATGGCCCCAGCCCCTAACTTAATTTTTTAAAATTTTCTCTTTATTGAGATACTATATTTACCTTTACAATGCTAGTAATGATGATTTCTTGCGTACATCATTCCAACTACACCCAGGTTTTTAAAAATTCTTATTCATAGGATTATTTCCAAGTTGAGTTCCTATTTCTGAGGAGGAACAAGGTAATAAGAGTCCTGGTGTTTCTCCGAAGACAGAGGAGGTTTAGGCTTGAAAGAAATGTCACCTTGTTACCAGTTCTCATTGCATGTTTAGATGGCCATCAGGTAAGAAAGTGAACTCCAGTTTGAGTGGATGAAAACGTGCAGTGGGATTGTAGTTTGGATGGATTGCTTATGCGTTTGCACAGATGCCCTTTATCTATTTAAAGTCCTTCCCCAGGCATTCTTTGCCCTTTCAGTAACCCTGTGGAGTGTGGAGAGCAATAGTGCCCATGGCAGAAGGAAAAAGTAAGGCTTAGGTTAAGAGCTTTTGAACCCAGGCCATTATGACTATGACAGTTACACACACAAACACAAACACCCACACACACATCCGCTGACAGAGGCATGCAAACATAAGGGGATTCACTTTGGTCACAGTAAGTCTGGAAGCAAGGAAATATGTCCCTTTGGCTATTAAAAACAAAACCAAAAACAGTTACTGACTTAGAGGCCAGAATGGTAATACAGCGGGTAGGGAGTTTGCCTTGCATGTCATTGACCCAGGTTTGATCCCCAGTCACTGTCACTGTCACTGTCATCCCATTGTTCATCGATTTGCTGGAGCGGGCCCAATAACGTCTCATTGTGAGACTTGTTGTTGTTGTGTTTGGCATATTGGATACATCACAAGTAGCTTGCCAGGCTTTGCCATGTAGGCGAGATACTCTCGGTAGCCCGGCAAGCCCCGAGAGGGGAGGAGGAATTGAACCTGGGTCGGCTGTGTACAAGGCAAATGCCCTACCCACTGTGCTATCGCTCCAGCCCATTTGATCCCCAGTACCCCATATGATTCTCTGAACCCACTAGGAGTGATCCCTTAGTGCAAAGCCAGGAGTAAGCCCTGACCATGACTGGGTGTGGCCCCCAAACCAAACCAAACCAAAACAATAATCCTCCAAAACAAAGTTGCTGGCTTAAAAATAAGTAAATATATTTTCATTTATTGTTGTGTATTGTCCAGTTCATGACTAATGAAGATAAAAGTCTTCCTTTAAAAAAAAAATAGGATATTAGTGTGCTTTCTAATTCTTTTTAGAGCGCTGGGAATTCCAGTCACGGATCATACCTATGAAGATTGCAGATTGATGATTTCAGCAGGACAGCTTACATTGCCTATGGAAGCTGGATTGGTAGAATTTACCAAAATTAGCCGGAAACTAAAGTAAGTGTATATTAAATTCCCTAAGCTTTCAGGTTTTTCCAAAGAAATCGGAAATCCTTTATGTAACTTTCCTCTGGCTTTGTTACTGCTCTGCTCTAGAAGCTGTAAGATGTTTATGAGAGAAATGAGGGTTGTAGATTTATCTCCCATCTAAGTCATCTAGTTTCGCATTTTCAAGTAGAGTTAATGCAGAAATGTGTGTTGTGGTCCCTGGAGGAGAGCCGGAGGTGGTTTACGTGAGTCAGAGTGGCTCTATCTCCCTGTTCAGAATTGACTCCATGTTGTTTATCTTGCTGCCTCTTACAAGAAAGCAATCACAGCATTATTAGATGAACTACTTGTGTGAAATATGAGTTGACTTGTCGAGTAAGCAAGTCTATCATTGAATTTTAAATATCTTAGCTTTTTATTCTGGGCTTATACTTTTAAAAATATATATATGTATACTCCTTTGTGCCTTCTGGACATTCCCTTTGAATTATACAATATGAAAGGTGTAATATTACATACTGTTTATTCAGCTTCCAAACTTAGTAGGAATTTGCAGAATTTATTGATTATCTCCATGGAGACTTTGATACCCTCCCAGAAGGTGCTGCAGAAGCAGTTGCTAAAGAAAAGTTCAACATTCAAACATAAAATTTTAGTAAAGTATATAATAAATATTATTTATGTCATTATTACAGGTAGGTTATTTCTGCAAGGAAAATATTAAGTTTTTATGTCGTGTTGGCAATATTCACTCCAACGTGGAAAGTTTAGATAGCACTGAGATTAAATCCAGAACAAGTTTGTGTTAAGTCACCTGTTTAATTCTCCAAGACAAAGACAGAATAGGATGCACATTACAATATATTTTCCAGTGTTTTATCACCCTGATTTTTCATTACTGATATTGGGGGAAGTACAAGTCTTCCTTTTTGGATCCCCATGCTCAGGGATTTCTCCTGGAGTGTTTGGGGAACTCTATAGAGTGCTGGGGATTGAACCTGGGTTGACCATGTGCTTGGCAAGCATCCTAACCACTAACCAATCCCCCAGCCCCTAGGGAAGCACAGATAGTCTAAGAACAACTTCCCTGTCACAGCATTTTGTGAAATGGGAATTCATTACCCCCTTGAAAACAAGATTTAAACCACTCCATGAGTATTGTTGACTTGGTTATGGCTCATTCAAATGCACTTTCTTATTTTCTTCTCCTAGTTATTAACAGTTCACTGCATTTCCCTTCTCAGTTACTCTTCTTTCCCTCAGGTGGTTAGGATAATTACATTTATACTCCTATCTTTTCATAAATTAGATGTCTTTCTACTTTCTGATTTAAATACATACTTTCAGATTTATCACTTAAACACTTTCCTTCAGACAAACTAATAAAGCAGTGTTTATGAAATGTCTTTGAGGGTTGTAAAGAGCTAATAGCATGCACGTATAATTCTTGCTTTGTCTAGATTAGACTGGGATAGCATTCGGAAGCACTTGGATGAATACGCAGCTATTGCAAGTTCATCCAAAGGAGGAAGAATCGGTATTGAAGAGTTTGCTGAGTATTTAAAGTTGCCTGTTTCAGATGTCTTGAGACAACTTTTTTCACTTTTTGACCGGGTATGTTAAAATTTGTTCTTTAACATTTTTACTTTGCCAATCCTCATAAGTAAAGGAGCATAATGGCATGACAGACATTAGGAAAACGTACTGGGTCAGTGTTAGAAGAAGCAAGACTGAGCCATGGTTTGGGACTGGAGTGATAATACAGCAGGTAGGGGTTTGCCTTGCACAAGGCTGACCCAGGTTCAATTCCTGGCACCACATATGGTCCCCAGAGTCCCACCATGAGTAGAGCCAGAAACAGAGTCAGGAATAAGTCCTGAGCACTGCTGGGTATGGCCCCAAAACTAAAAGACATTTAAAAATTAATTTAATTTTAAAAAGACTGAATCATGATTTAACTGCATGATTTTGTTTTCTCACAGTAGCAGTGGTAGTAGTATTGGTAGTAGCTGTAATAGAAGTGATATAGTAATAGAAGTAGTAGGAGAGGAAGTAGGAGGGTAGAAGTTGTGATATAGGAGTAGGGATAGTGGTAGTGATAGTACTGTTGGTACTGGTCGGAGTAGTAGTACTGTAACAGTAGAAGAGTACTGTAGTGGTAGTAATAGTGGGAAGTGGATGGTAGTGGATGACAGTGGGAAAAGTAGTGGTAGTAGTAGTCAGAGGAGGAGGAGGAGTAATGGTTATGATAGTACCTATTTTAATTACCAGGTCAGAAATAAATACTGTGGTTATATAGCCATGCTTGTGATGTGGAATTAGAAATGTTTATGAAACTGGCAAGAATTTGAAAATTTTATGTCAAAAAATTACAAATTGACAACATAAGTGATGCTATTCTGTTCTAAAAGGCCTGTAGATTTTCGAAATTACCAAATGTGTCTTAGTTTCAACATTTTATACAAAGTTTCCATTAAAATGTGTGAAACTATATTTGTGGGTATACTGTTTTTACTTATTAATATGTGCTTTTGGTAGTTAGAGCATTGAATTATCTTAAAGTTTCCAAAAATGTATCACCGTTTCAAGTTTGCTATTTTTAATATGTGTAATTTATAGTAAAACACTTTCTGTTACAATATTTTGAGTTGTAACAAACACAGAGGCCTGTAACTTCTACCATAAACAAGATAAACTACATACAACAGTTGTGAAAACATTTTCCTTGGAGCCCTCTGTATGTCCGTCAGGACTTTTTCCACTTAACCTCCAGAATTCCTAATCTGTTTCTCATTCCTGCAGTTTTGCCTTTTCAGATTCCGCACAGGTAGATTCAGAGAGCATGTCTCCTGAGTCGGGCTTCCTTCACCTCACACAAAGCATGTGACATTCTGCCCTGTGGTTGCATGTATATTATTGATTGGGCCACACACTGTGTTTGGGGTGCTGCTTTTGTTCTTAATATTTCGCTGTTTGGGGTGCTGCTTTTGTTCTTAATATTTCACTGTATGAATGGATGTACTTGGCTTATCCTCTCCCCATGTAAGGCAGAATTTTTGTTCCTTACAGTTTGAAGTAAGGAACAAAAGTGATTAGGAATATAACTTTTCAAAGCATTTGTGACAGGTATTTGTGGAAATATATGTATTGGTTTTTTTTTTAAATTTACTTATATTTAGTTTTTGTGGTGTTCACTCATGCAGGGCAAGTACTTGACCCCTCAGTTGTATCCCTGACCCAAAATGTAGATTTTCATTTCACTTGGCTGAAATGAAATGTTGACTTGTGATGTCTTTCTTTTCCTTTACCTGAAAGTGACTTTATTTTGCATTCATTCTTGCAGGGTTATTTTTTAAATTGATAAGGAACTCTTTAAGTTGCTAGTTCCTTTTTACTTTGAACAACTGAATGATGAGGTCCTGTCATCTTCATTTCATGCCTGTCTGGTTATTGGTCAGGTTCTCAATCTCCCCACCGGCCCTCCTGCCCCTGGTATTTTGCAGAAGTAGTTTGTCGTGCTTTATTCAGAGACTCTATAATCAGAAAGAGTGACTAAGCTGGGCCTCTTTCATCCTGACTCCCTCATGGAAGTTTCCCTTCTCTTTTAGCCACTGGGGTAGGAAAAGATGTTTTTGAAAGAAACAAAATAGATTGATGACAAAAGTCAGAACAAGACTAACCCCACTGTTCTCCTTGCCCTGAGTGGTCATGTTCCCCTGACTTATCCTGTGACCTCATAGATAAACTTTCAAACGGTGCCCGGTGTGGGCCTTTCAGGCACCCTGCCTATGATCATGACTCCTTGGTGGGGCAACTCTAGAACATAATGAAGATTTAGACCAGAAGAGAAGCAAACAGTAGACTCTAACTGCAAGTTGGGAAATGAGAGGAACGTCTCTCACTATACTATTTTTCTGGGAGATTAGCAGTTTCCAGTGTGGCTCTAGAATCTATACAAGTGATATATGAACTTGTGCCAGGAAGTCTCCTGGCAGGGGGAGTACAAACCAAGATGGCAGAGGGAAAGGAGGGTCCTGACCCCTGCATGGGAGGAGACTGAGAGTGCATCTTACTCAGCATGCTCACCAGGATTTTTCAAATGCAGTTAATCTCCCTAGAGGGGACTCTGCCTTTCAGATGTCAAAGTGCCGTAAGTGGCAGCTAAAGAATTTCATTGACGCCAGGTCTGTCTTGACTGATGACACCTGCAGGCAGCCCCAGTGTTCCAATGGCACCCTGAGCTCTGGGAAGATGGTGAAGGGGAAGGGCAGAGAAGCCCGGGGTTGCAGTTCCCCCAAGTCAAGCCTGCTTAACTCACTCTGAGCAGGAGTGCAGTGGCCTGCAGGCAGTCTGGAGCTCAGGGAGCCTTTGTAGCCCCTTGCGCCTCCTTTCTGCAGGGACTGCTTCTTTACGCTCACATGCTAACTGGGAAGTTTCTTCCCTTTTTGTCTGGGTTCAGCTGTAGCTCTGTGCTGGTCTGTGAAAGCACTCTTCTTTTCTTTCTTTTTTTTTTTATTAGTGAAGCACCATGAGGTACAGTTGTAGATTTACAAATCTTTGTGCTTGAGTTTCGGTCATACAATGATCAAATACCCATCCCTCCACCAGTGCCCATTTCCCCCCACCCCCCCTCCCACCCTGCCTCTGTGGCAGGGCATTCCCCTTTGTTCTCTCTCTCCTTTTGGGTGTTGTGGTCTGCAAAAGAGGCTTTGAGTGGCAATCATGTTCAGTCCATAGTCTACTTTCAACATGCATTTCCCCTCCTGGGAGGATCCTCCAAACACCCTTTATTTGGTGTTCCCTTCTCTATCTGAACTGCCCTTTCCCCTAGAATATCCGGCTGGCCTCTGAGCTATGGAGTAATCCTCCTGGTGTTGATCTCAGCTATTCTTAGGTATTGATCTCATATTTTGTTGCTTTATATCCCCCAGATGAATGCAATTTTTCTATGTCTATCCCTCTCTTTCTGACTCATTTCGCTTAGCATGATACTTTCCATATTGTACCACTTGTATGTAAATTTCATGACTTCACCTTTTCTAAGAGCTACATAGTACTCCATTGTGTAGATGTACCAAAGTTTCTTTAACCAGTCATCTGTTCTTGGGCATTCAGGTTTCTTCCAGTTTCTGGCTATTGTAAAGAGTGCTGCAATGAACAAACAAGTGCAGATGTCACTTCGACTACACATTTTTGCCTCTCTGGGGTATATTCCCAGGAGCACTCTTCTTTTCTTCTCCAACATATTGCAAGGCAGAGAGTAGTCTGGAGAATTAATTGCTAATGCGTTAAACCTGTTTTCCTTCTTGCATCCTCCTCCTCTTCCTCCTCCTCTTCCTCCTCCTCCTTCCTTTCCCTCTCCCTCTCCCTCTCCCTCTCCCTCTCCCTCTCCCTCTCCCTCTCCCTCTCCCTATCTCCCTTCTCTCTCTCTCTCTCTCTCTCTCTCTCTTTCTCTCTTTCTCTCTCACTCGCTCTCTCGCTCTCTCCTCTCCCTGCCCCCTCCTCCCCTATCTTGCCTGCATGTCTGTGCCTGTGAAGATGTGCTTTGCTTTGGGGAACTGAATGATGCAATAAATGTTACCACACCCCGTACACATACCCATTTTCATGCTAGGCTTGTTTTCTCACCAGGTTAAAGAGATTTTGCAGGGGAATGTCTGATGGGAAAGACAAGGAATTCCAGTGATTTCATAGTTTGTTTCAGAAGAGCTTATCTGGCTAAATTCAATGCTTAATGAGGGGTGGGGGCTGGGGAGGAAGGATGGGAAAGAGAAAGGACGGAGTGTTCCCGTTGCTCTTTCCTCGTTATAAAGTTCTGCAGAGAAGGCGGCTCCCATAGACCCTCCCATGTTCCTTGCCCACTTGGTCTTCCTTTTCCCCTCCCTGATGTTCCTTTTCCCAAGTCCGATGCAGTTGTGATTGGTGTTCTGGGGATCAGGGAAAGTTGTGCTCTCTCTGAATTGCCACATACATAGCCTTCCCACATACATTCTTGGGTAGTACACAACGGCTGCAATAATGGTATTCATATCAACTTTCCTAAAAATTACATGGTCTATTCATTCCTTCTAAGCATCCCAACTTTTCAGAATTTTAGAGTCCCAGCTATTTGATGATATCTAATTTGAAAGTCTAACACAAGTGTGGCATTCATGATCCAAAGCATGGCCTAGTTCTCTAGTTTGGGATCCTTTCCTTTAGAGAGGTCACACCTCTTTGAAAAAAGGTAATAATAATAAAAAAAGAGACAGGAGGCTCTTTCCATCTTTACATTCAACTTGACTTTTTTAGTTTCCGGTGTGGATGTTGAAGTTCCTGGATCAGAGGTTAATTGGGAATAATTGAACATCCAGGCATGTTAGAGTCAAAGGCTAACACAGTGTTCAAACAGTGACTGGCCAGGCTGTGACTCAGTAGTCCAGTTCTTGCTTTGCACAACTGAGGCTCAGGATTTCATCCCTGGCACTGTAGAGCAAAGAAATAGAACAGTGGCTTCTGTGCTCAGTGGTAAAGTGCGTGTGCTACATGCTGAAGACATGGTTTGATAATGAGTAAAAAAAGAAGAAAGAAAGAAAGAAAGAAAGAAAGAAAGAAAGAAAGAAAGAAAGAAAGAA